TCAGGCACCGGCTGCTGGGCTATCTCGGGGGCCGGCTGTTGGGATATATCAGGCACGGGCTGCTGGGCTATTTCGGGGGCCGGCTGTTGGGATATCTCAGGGGCCGGCTGTTGGGACGTCTCCTGTCCCGGCTGCTGGGCTGTCTCTGGTGCTGGGTGCCGGCCACTGCCTGCCTCGCACTGGGCTCTGGGCACTCACTGCACTCATGCTTTTCCGTCTCTGACAGTTCATCTCTGGGGGACAGAGGAGGTTGCTGCCTGGCTGGAGCACCTCAGTCTCTGTGAGTATAAGGACATCTTCATGCGGCACGACATCCGGGGCTCTGAGCTCCTGCACCTGGAGCGGAGGGACCTCAAGGTACTTCACAGGCATCTCCCTGGAACCTGCACTTGACCTTGCACTTGGTCCCTTCTGTTCCGTCCTCTCTCCCGAGCTGGCCACATCTCAGCGTCACGATTCTCAGGCCTTCGTGTATACCTCAGGTTGGGATGGCTGTGGCCCTCACCCTAGGCAGTGATGGCTCCACCCGCCGTAGCCAGAGGAAGCCAGGAGCAGACGTAGTGGGGGCAGAGCCTTGGTTCTCTTAGCCTAATTAGACACAGACTGTCTTCGTGATAAAAATCCTATGAGGGGACACAGCCCCGGAAGCACAGTCACACGTGACTGTCCCCACACTGCTCCTGGGCAGGTGTTGCCGCTTGTCTGCAGGGAGCATTGGGAGGGGGCGGTTAGATGCCAGGCCTCAGTCTGTGCCAGCCTTCATGCCCCATCTCATGGGCCCACGCCCTTGCCCAGGTTGGCTTCGTGGGGACGCCTCTGGGTGTTGAGTTACTGGCCGAGTCCCAAGAGGGCAAAAGGCCACTGGGTGTCCTGGACGGTGGCTCTTGTGAGGTCGCTCACTCCCTTGCTTTCGGGCCTGTGTTTTGTCTTTGTCTTGGGTTTGTCTTTGCTGATGGAAGGGACTAGAATGCAGGAACAGCGGCCAGGCATCTGTACAGTTGCTGTATTTAAGCTGTTCCCATCTTGTTTCATGGTCTTTGTGATTTTCACCCTCATTTGTGTTCACAAGCCAAGTGGGAAGGGCCGTTGGCAGCAGGCTTGCTGTAGAGCCTCTGGCCCTGTCTGTCTTCCCACATCCACGGGGATGTCCTCTCTGTTGCAGGACCTGGGCGTGACCAAGGTGGGCCACATGAAGAGGATCCTGTGTGGCATCAAGGAGTTGAGCCGCAGCGCCCCCGCCGCCGAGGCCTAGCCTCCACCCTCTCAGCCTGCGGCCTCCACATTCCCGCCGCCGAGGCCTAGCCTCCACCCTCTCAGCCTGCGGCCTCCGCGCCTCCTACCACTGAGGCCCTGGGCGGACGCTGCAGCCCGCCCCCTTCTCATGGTGCTACTTCACTCTGTCAGCTACAGAAAGCCTCCATGACACCGTCCACCAGAGCTCTGGGGTCTCGAACATAACAACACAGCTACCTTTGAAATAACACCTTCTCCAGCTCAGAGTCACCTGGGGGACATGTGTCACGGCCACTCAGCCCTCGCTCACCTGTGTTGCGGACCAGGGAATCCGGCAGCGTCTGTCCTCTTGGGCACCGCTTGCCTGGCCTCATGCTCAGGTTGTCCCGGGGGCTCCCCTCCGTGTGTCCTTCCTGGCCACACTGTGTGGCTCCGCCTCCTGGCCCCGGGGCTCTCAGAAACGTGGCTGGGGTCCAGCCGCCCTGTGGCTTCACAGCAGCCTGCATGGCCCCGTTTGTTGATGCAGCTTTTGTTGTTGAACAAAAGTCGTGCTCTCTCCTGGTTTGAAAGTAGCCTGGATGTTTCCAGGCCTGTTGATGTAATTTGACATGATGGGAAAAGAAACCCCTCCTGCTTGAGCCAAGGCAGTGGGTGCAGTTTCTCAGGCCGGGAGTCCCTCCCTGGGTCCACAGAGCCTGCGCGCCTCCCTCCGCCCCTCCCCCACTGCCTCTGAGCTGTGGGCTGGGGACGCCTCCCCTTCTGTCTCTGGACATTGTAGGCCTCGAGTCCAGCTTGGGGCCATGAGTGAGACCGATCGCCAGCTGCGTCCCCGCAGAGGATGTGTGTCCACATGAGTTCAGTGTTTTTGTGTGGAAAACGCTTCCTGGCTCTGGGAAACTCTTTCTGCCCGTTCTGTGGTTCCCAGGGAGTGTGGCCCTGGTGGGCAGGGGTGGTTTGAGCTCTTCACCCTGTCCTGAGTGTCTCTGCCCCTGCAGTGGCTTCTTGTCTTCTGCTGCTGGGCCTGGTGTCGCTGGAAGTGCTGGCCGGGACTTTTGACTTGATGGTCCACACTGCTCCTGCCCTGCCTCTGTCCTGCCTCTGAACCAGCAGATGACGGTGCCAGAGGGCAGGGAGCTCCCCTGGGGAGACTGCAGGGACAGTCCCCAGGCGGAGGACGCACCTGGTCCTCCTGCACATGACTCTGTCCCTTTCCCCCTTGATAGTCATCATTCACAGGGGCTCGTAGATGTCTGGAAAGAGGTTTCTGGAACCCCAACCCTGGTGTGAGGAGGAAATAGCTCTGGCCTGGCTGCCTGGCAGTGGCTCCATGCCCCAAAGAGAAGGGCAGTGTTGGAGTGTCTGCCGGCGCCATCCCAGCCCTTTAGTCAGCGTGGCTCCGTCTGCTGTGCGGAAGCAGGGCTGCACCTGCAGGGGCGGCTTGGATGGGGCTGGTTTGCGGCAGCCCCGGCCCTGAACAGGTGGCAGTGACCAGCGCCTGGCCCACCTCTCACAGTCCTCTGTCCCCTCTGCAGTGCCCCCGGGTGGGCCCCTCCGCGTGCCTTGGGGTGCTCCCCTCTGTGGTCCTTCTGGGCTGAGGCCTCTGGAGCGTGCAGGCTGAGCCGGGCCTTGGGTTCCCCCAGCGCAGCGTCCTGTCGCTGCATGCGTAGTGTTGGGATTTTGGTGGACTTAGCTGCTCATGTGGGTGGAAGGTGGTTGTGTGTCACCTTTTGCACCTGTGATTGTTTCTGCACAGGACGTTGTGGATGGAGGTAAAGCTGGCCATGGCAGTTGCTTGGTTTCCCAGGTGGAACGGGTTGGCCCAGGGGATGATGGCAACCTGGCCCGCAGTCCCTGTGTGACCATTGGCCCTGCTGGCCTGGTGGTGTCGGCACCCTGGGGCTCTTGGGGTCCCAGAACAAGCCGGAACTCGGGTGAGGAGGGGACATGAGGAGAAGCAGCCGACTGTGGCTTCAGGGACATCAGGGTCACCCCACGTCCTCAGTGTCCTACTCCTGGCAAGGAGTTGGGTTTGGGTTAAAAGTGTTTAATATGTTGTCAGTGATTAAAACAACACTGTTTACATAAAAACCATTTTTCTAATTCTAACAAGTTAGAAGTGAGAAAGGAATGAACGGGAATGTTCAGGGAACGGCCCTTTGCTGCTGGGCTGGTGTCCCGCACTGGGGTGTCCTTGCTGTCCGGGAGGCTGCTCCGCTGCCCCGGCCCAGGTCCCCTTTTGCCGTTGCCAGACAGGCCTCACGGTCTGCTGTGCAGAGGAAGGCAGGAAGCATCCCTGAAGCGTCTTGGAGCAAAGGTTCTGTGCCCTCAGGTGGGGCTTACCCCCCCTCGTATTTATAATCTTAATTTATATAGTGACCACCGTGGAAACAAATGCCTCTTGTATTGTTATGTACATAGTCCATGCCTGAGTGCTGTACATAAGTTGTTCTGTGTATAAATAAAACGAGCCTGTTTTTGATCTTCCATGGCCAGTCCGTCGTCATTCCTGTGCTTTGACAAAGTGTGGTTGCCAGGATTTTTCCGAACTGTAGCAGAATTGTTTTTCAGCTGCCCTGAAAATAAGTTGAGTTGTTGGTGGCTAAAAAGCAAAACAGAATGCCATTGTATTTTTTAGGGTGTGGGTTCTGTGATCTGTTGGACTAAAAATTCAGCAGCGAGAGAGAGGGTACTGGGCAGTGTTGAGGTTCTCAGGTGTGATCACACGGCCTCAGGGCCCGGGAGACTGAGGTCCATTTTAACAAATATTTTAACCTTAGATCTTTTCTGTAAAACTGCACACCTGAAGCTCTCCTACTTCTCTGTTTAGTCTTGGTACTTTTATTCCAAAGGCACTGCCTAAGATCAAGGTCACTTGAGTTGTCTCCTCCAGTTTCCTGGAGTGAGGGATGGGGGCTGGGTTCACGGAGGCAGCGTCAGGCTGGTCGGGGCTGCACGCGCTCTGCGGGTGTTGGCTGCCTTCCCAGCAGCTCTTCCCTGCTCCTTCCATGCTAACAAATCCCCCTGCTTTTTTTTTTTAATCCTGGTGTGTAGTCTCTTCTCTGGCCATTAAGGACTTCAGGCCTCATGGTTGCAAGATGGTCACCACAGCTGTAGACATCACACCAGTGTAAGTTGTATGGGGACAGATGGCTGCCTCTTTTATGTGTTGTGTTTTTGTTTTTTTTTTTTTAAGATGAGGTCTTACTCTGTCTGTCTCCCAGGCTGGAGTCCCATGGCATAGTCATAGCTCACTGCAGCCTCCAACTCCTGGGCTCAAGTGATCCTTCCACCTCAGCCTCCCTAGTAGCTGAGACTACAGGTGCATGACAACACACCCAGCTAGTTTGTAAAATTTTTTGTAGAGACTGAGTCTCGCTTGTTGCCTAGGCTGGTTTTGAACTCCTGGCTTTAAGCAGCCCTGTGTGTGTCTTTTTAAGATAATGGGAGCCCTTTTGGAGGCCCTGACTTCAGCTGACCTGATGTCTTGTTGGCTAGAATTGCCTCACACACCCATGACTAAACCAATGAGTGTGAAGGGTACGAGCCATGACGGTGACCGGGATGCTGATGGCTGACACTTTATAGTATTTTATGCCAGCCACTGGTCTAAGTGCCTTGCATGTACGAACTCCTCTAATTCCCTCACAGCCCTACTCGCTGGGTTATCTACATTTTACAGGCAAGGGACAGGCTCAGAGAGGTCACACGACCTGCCCCATGAGGCACAGCCAGTGCGTGGCTGAGACGGGAGGCAGCTGCCACATCTTTTGAAGGGCTATGCTTTCATGTTTCCCAGGCCTCACAGCAAGCCCAGCCCACGTGACAGGTGAGGAGATTGGGCCCAAGTGACAGGCTTGCTTTGCGGCACAGCGGCCAGGGCGCCTCACTTGCTGGTGGCACTGGATACCTGGGCAGGGGCAGACCGGCGGGGGAGGCTGGTGTGCGCTCTGCCAGCCTCACTCCTGCGTCCACGTGGCCCATCTCACATGGGGCGTGGCTTCCTTGTGTCAGCAGTGAGGGGTGCTTCTCACAGACGGCATCTGACAGTGGGGCGAGGCCAGACGGCAGTCTAAAGCGGACGGGGCAGTTCAAGTGTAGCGTGGTCACAGGATGTGACAGTGCAGTCGAGTAGAGAGCATGCAGCGGTATGTACTGTCTAAACTGATCCTCTTCAGAACTACCCCCACCTTTAGAAAAACAAGCTGGGTGCTTGGTCCAGTAATGTTAACTGACCCCTGAATTTGTGGCCTCTGTTGTTTGCCAGAGCAGTGTGGCCGTGGTCCCCCCACCTCTTTGTGCCCTGGCTCCAGGTGGGCTCCCATGTGTGCCTTGGATGTAGGTTGCTAGGCCCCTCCTAGGGCTCTTAGACCTGGGCTAGGAGTGGGTGCAACTGGATGTCATCTCTTTGGGGTGGGGATGGAGTGGCTGAGTGCTACCATCTTTGAAGCACAGGCCTGTGAAGGGCCTGGGCACCTGGAGGCTCTGGGGAACCCATCTTTCCCTCTCCCCCAACTGTCATTCGATGGAGCCCATGTAGGTCGCCCACTAGAGCTCAGGGCTTTCACTGGTTTGTAGAAAGAGGCACTTGGTGGCTGCCAGGTGTGATGGAGCTGCTGGTGGTGTCTTGACGCTTGGAGAGGTGTCTGTGGAGATGGAACCACCTCAGAGAGCAGCACACTGGGGCCTGGCAGAGGTGCCACTGTCTCCTGAGCACTTGCCTGGCTCCACCCTGGCCTGGTGTGAGTGTTGATATTTATTCAGGGTGGCTGGCAAAATATTAAAGGTATATTGGGAAAAGTTATAGATTAGTCTCAAACCTTTTGGCAGGCCGAAAGGCTTTATTGGGGCAGGCCAAAGGTGGCCCGCTGGTCCATTAAGTTAGGGAGAAGACAGGGAAGAGGCTTTCCCAGTTTAAGTCTGTTTACCCCTCTTTGTCTCTGCTTTAACTGTTTACTCATGTACACTTTGTGCTGGGTGACCCTCTCAGTGGGAGATTAAAGGGGAATTTCCTGCTGATGGTGTTTACTCTGGGCCCGGAACCTAAAGCTTTTATTTGTATAAGCAGTCTTTTAACCATGTTAATTGTACACAAGTGTGTTAATTTAAAACCTGTGTTATGAATAAGTGTGGATGGACAGAGGGTCTGAGTCAATTGGCTTTCTTTTGCCCTCTGAAAACAGCATCCCTAGCCCACTTATATCACTGTCATGGTGTGAGAGTGCATTCATTCATTCATTCATTCATTCATCCGTCGTCAGGTCAGGGTCTGCAGGTCAAACTTCTGTAGGTGGTAACCAATGTCTCAGTGAGCTCTTTGGTGGGCTCTTGTTTTGTGAGCCACGAGATTGCCGTGTCTGCTCCTGCCACCCCAACCTGGGGGCAAGGACCTGCAGATGAAGGGCCCTGCCTGCCACACTCTGCAGCCATTGCCATGGGGACCCGGATGCATGGCAGCATACCTGCCGCGCGCGCGCGCGCGCGCGCGCGCGAGCGCGCGCGCGTGTGTGTGTGTGTGTGTTTGCGCGTGGGGTAGGGGTGGGGGAATGTGTGGCTGGAGGGAGCTGGAAGCAGTCTCTTTCCTTGGGTGTTGAGGTCACTGCTTCACTTTCCTCTCTCAAGTGCAGTGAATCTCCAGAATGTAAATCCACCCAGAATGCGTTCGTTATAGATTTGACTGAACCCTAGTCTGGCCATGCTTTGGGTGGGTGCCTTACCAGAGCAGAATGAAGGATGGCCTGTAGGGTGAAGGGGCTGGTCCCTTGCTGTGAAGTCTGTTCTGCAGGTAAACTCACATCAGTGGCGCCAGAATGATTTGCAAGGGAATTCTTGCCCCTCACTTTTTTTGGCTAGAAAAAGTCACTGTTGAATTAGTATGTTTTCTGTGATGCCACCACCATTGCCTATTTCCCTAGAAGGAAAAGAGACCCAGATACATCCAATTTATCCAGTTTCTTCCAGTGCCTTTTTCCCATGAGTCTGAACTTTTTAAAACAAAAGCAAACTTCTGTTATTTCCAAAGCAGCACCGCTGCAGTATTGCTAAATTTAAACTCTGTTTAAACAATTTAGCATCTGAAGCAGGCTTGGGAAAAAGAGCCTCAAAATTTTTTTTTTCTTTTTTTTTTTTGAGATGGAGTCTCACTCTGTATCCCAGGCTGGAGTGCAGTGGTGTGACCTCGGCTCACCGCAACCTCCGCTTCCCGGGTTCAGGCGATTCTCCTGCCTCAGCCTCCTGGGTAGCTGGTACTATAGGCATCTGCCACCACACCTGACTAATTTTTGTACTTTTAGTAGAGATGGGTTTTCACCATGTTAACCAGGTTGGTTTCACGCTCCTGACTTCAAATGATCCGCCCACCTTGGCCCCCCAAAATGCTGGGATGACAGGCGTGAGCCATTGCATTCAGCCGAAAGCTTTTTTTTTTTTTTTTTTTTTGAGATAGTCTCACTCCATCACCCAGGCTGGAGTGCAGTGGTACTATCTCTGCTCACTGCAACCTCTGCCTCCCGAGTTCAAGCACTTCACCTTCCTCAGCCTCCCAAGTGCTGGAATTACAGGTGGGTGCCACTGTGCCCAGCTAATTTTTTTAAAAAAAAATTTTTTTATTTTTAGTAGAGATGGGGTTTCGTCATGTTGGCCAGCCTGGTCTCTAACTCCTGACCTCAGATGATCCACCCACCTCAGCCTCCCAAAGTGATGGGAATACAGGCATGAGCCACTGTGCCTGGCCAAAAGTTCCTCTCTCAAGCAAGCTGAACATGAAGTAGCCGGCAACCAAAAGAAGCTAAGGACTACAACTTTAAAAACAAATGGTTTATTGTTCCTTTACCAAAATCATACAGCTTTCTCCCTGTATATAGCCCACTCAATCCCCAATTTAAAAAAAAAAAAAAAAAAGGAAGAAGGAAAAGGCAATACGCTAGGCCGGCCCGGACGCACACCCTGCTGGACGGCACTTCAACCCACGTGCGTCATGGGACGTCCAGAGACACAGGAGGCTTCTGGCCTCTCAACAGCAAAGCTTTTCAGCGATTTTGTTAGTATTCATTATGTCAAGATGAGATGAAGGGACATTCTACAGAAATATGTCAGTTAGTCACGGAAACAGAACAGCTTACAGAAGGGCTGGGCGCCCAGCTCCGGTCACGATACTTAACATCTCTGGTGTCATGAGAAGCCTCCATCTCCCTCTATAAAGATGCAGTCTACACTCAGTGTGAGTCTCCTGAGCGGGGTTAGTGTTTGGGAGCTGGAAGGCAGCTTGTGAGTCAGAGTCCAGTCCTTACGGCACAGTGCTTCACAGAAACACAGAGACCTCGACGACAGATGCTCTCAGACACGTGTGCAGAAGCGACGCGGCTTGTCTGGTAGTGGTTTTGACCTTGTTGGGAGGAGGACATGGGGCAGAGCGGGCCGCCGGCTCAGCGTCAGCTAGTTGGAAAGGAGTCACAGGCAGGGGAGTGCCTGATGCCGGCAGTGCCCTTTCT